CCAACCTATTTCCCTGCTCAGGTGATGTTTTGTAGCAGAGGCAGGTGTTGCCCTGTTCCCTTGCATTCACCCTACATCAAAGCAGCTCTGCCCTGCTTACTGGGAGGCACAGAGCATGGAGGTGGCACAATGGCTGTGGAGCCCAAACCGGTGCTGTTTAAAAGAACCCAGGTAGCAGAAGGCACTGAGGCAGCTTGGAGCATTTCCCCAAGCAGCTTTCTCTTTATTGAATTATGGAGAAGAAAAACGTGATGGTTCTGTTTATTTATATTTGTTTTGCATTATGTCACTTTCTGGTAGCACTGCAGGTGATTCAGTCCCCATTCCCAGGCCCAGCACTGTACCTGGGCTCTCACTGCCCCCCACTGCTGCTTTTCCCATTTGTTCTGCTCTTTTTTTCTAATGTAAGCAATTGTTGAAACGGTGTTTTGGAATGAAGGGCATATTGCTGCATCTCCTCTTCTTTATTATTTAGATCTTCCTTATTATTTACATCTGTTACTGCATTCATCTTCCTAGAAAAACTAAATGGTTTTTAAGTGTCCTGAAACTCAACCTTAGCTATCAACTCTCTATATATTCATTTTTAGCTTAACTTTGTTTTCGTAAGCCCCCAGAAGGGCAGGTCTGTGGTACACACAGTACTTTTACAAGCAGAATTTAGGGTAGAGAAGATAAATGCAAGAAGCAGTGTGTCACAATCACAAGAAGGAAGCTAAACCATTAATAGGAAATACGGGCAGAGAAGCAGATATATTTCCTCCTCCTTTTATAAGGGTTTCTGAGTCAGTAATATGCTTTACCTTAGCAGTTCATTACAGTCTCCCATCATATTGCAAGAGCTCTTTATAATATTAAAACTCTTTGTCTTCTGAAGGCATTGTTAACCAGATGACACGAAATGCGTACAAGAAGATCCCCAGTGACAGAATGCAGTGGTTGGCACATGCCACAACATCGTATTTTCTGTGCTATTGTTGTGCAGATGGAAATGGCTCCTTTGAGGAAAGACGTTGTCTTAGATGCTGAGCTGAAGTTATTTATCTGTTGCTGTTTGCCAATGAGGGGAAACCTTTCCTACCCAAGAGCACTAAGGGAAATGTGTGCGAAGAAGAATGATAACATCAGTCCCCGTTATGTAAGTGATGAGGATGATGGAAATGCGGCTCAAGCAGTCTGGTTAGAGAAAGCTGTGATCTGAGGTGTCTGGAAGCAGTCACTGTTTTAATCTTTGCAGTTTGGGGAAGGGAAAATGCCACTTCCCTCATTTTTAACAGGTTATTTCCTTACCTCTCAGCCCCCTTTTTTTTCATTGTGTCTTCTGGTTCAGATTAGCTGCAAAAAAATATGGAAGTGGAAATGATCTAAAAGAAATTCATTTCTGAAAGGGGAATGTGGTTTGGTTTTGTCTTTATTTCCTGCGGTGTTTGATGTGGGGAAAAAATAATCACGAGGGGGATGGAAATGACAAAGCTGATTTCTATGCAGCCTGAGTTAACCCAGACACATTCTTGAGCTGCTGTCCAGTTTGGTGTGTACTGCCTGACCGTGTTCTGCTCATACATGTGATGCTTTTTTTACCATGCATGGTACCAACCCGTCCTGTTGAGGATGCAGTATTGTAATCTGATGGCCTTCATCCTGCTGGATGAATCTAGACGTAGAAGCATAGAGCAGAGCACTGGAGATTGGCTAATAAAGCAGCTTTGTTTCTGTACCCACACGTATGCCAGAATTTACTGCTACCCCTGGGCTGTTTGTGGCGCAGAGGGCAAATGTGGGTATGAACACTGACCCACCCAAAAACGAGCTGAATTCCCATTGACATAACAAAACTGTGCTCTGATGGCACTGTGGAGACCTGATGGTAGAAGGGAGGTCTGTGCTGGGCCAGTGTTGGGGCCTTCTGAGTAAGTTCTGATCAATTCATGGCAGCTGGATGTGCTCCTAGACCCTCCTTAAATCTTACTCTGTTTAAACATATAGATTTTTTTCTTTTTTAATCTTTTTTTTTTTTTTTTTTTTTCAAGTGAAGCTCTATTTATAGTGAACATATTCTCAAACAAAGGCAGTCTTTATTAACATTGTCTGACAGTAAAGTTAAGAGAGGTTTTCTGAGTAAATAGCAAGGCTAAATTTCTCAAGTTGAAGGCATGCAATTATGCAGCAAAACAGACTGAAATCAAGGCACATCTGTGCTCTGCAGATTTATAGCTAAAAAGGCAGAAGATAACCTGATGTACACGTTTAAAGAAACTGCATTGCTCATTTCTTTGGGAGAAATAGATTCTGGTTCATTTCCAGAAAGCAAAACTGTGACCCAAAGAAAGAAAAGACCTGAAGAACGATTACATAAAACATGGGAATATTAAGGTGGGCAGTGCTGTGGAAGAGAGGAGAGTTCTACTGTGCCATCCTGCATTTTGGTTTTTGTTGCCCACTTAATTGGATTCCTGCAAGAAGAATAAAGGTTTCTGAAGAAGATAGCACCAAGACCATCTATCTTAAACTGTACTGAATTGAAGACAGCTAAGTCAGATAGTCTAGGCTTAGTCTATTATAAACAGTGACTCACCGGGTGTGATTCAGCTGTCATATTGAACAGGAATTATTTAACTGTATGTGTATGGAAGATACTTTTCTTTAGGTCTCTTAGGTGGCTGAGAGCACACAACTTTGAATGAGAATGTTAGAAAGTGAGAAAAAGCTGAGTTTAATATTCTGGCTTGCAGACTGTAATCCATGCTGCCAGTTTGTGTAAGTTGTATTGAATTTTATGCACATATATTTGATGAAAAAAGCTGTGAGATTTTTGTACCTGTCAATATCAATCTTGGCTAAGACACAGAATTGGCTTGAATGGGGTTTCCAGTAAAGGTGGCATGCAAGATAACATTTGTGAGCATTTCTAAGCTCTGATGATTTGTCAGTGAGTCACCATTACATGAGAATTTTGCTGAGCATACACACTAAGGATTTCAAGATGAGAGACCTGTTCAGGAGAGCTGGACAAAAGGTAGCAAGTGCCTTTCGTGGAGAAAAAAATGAGATGGCTCACAACTTTGTTTTCCTTCAGATATCTGCAAACTTCAAAAAGTAGCAAGAAAAAGCCTTTGCAAAAATGTCCTTGCCTATGGGAGCATCATGATATTGCATCAGCTTAGAGCCATCCGACTTATATTCTGCTTTCCCTTGGGTTTGTGTCTTCAGGAGCAAGGCAGGGTTGCCTGTGAGCTCTGTAAGCTCAGTCTTTTTGCCTATAGTGTAAATCTAAATGTAAGGTGATCAGAAGACATTGTTAGATTTTTTTTTCTTTCTTTTTTTTCTTCTGGAAACCTCAGCTAAGGAATTTGGTTTTCATGATGCCCCTTAGGATCAGCACAAAGTAATAAGTCAGCATCATTTTCTAGCTGCAGTTGATAACATTTATTGCTAATTCTTTAAACACTTCTTTAAAGGAAAACAAGTCTGCAACCTGCATTGCACCCACAGGAATAATCTTTATTTTCCTCAGTTTGGTAATTCAATTGTGGCTTGTAAACTTGTGCAGTTGTAGCAAAAAAAAAAAAGTATACAGTCAACTCCAATCTGTCATGAGGAAAGTAAAAAGTGCTTACCACTACCAGTATAGTAAATCCTGTCTGCTTTATTAAATAAATGTAGAATTTCATTCAGAGGCCTTAAGGAAGAAGAGTTTTAGAACATCTGAACAATTTAGCACATTTTAAAGCTGAATGAAGACTGATTTAATTTTAGGGTGAGATTTAAACCTCTGGCATACCAAATCCAACTTACTTAAATTAACTTGAGAAGTGTAGGCATTATTTATGTCTTCTGAATTGTGAGAAGCGAACTGGTCTAGCAGATAAATTCTGGAGTATCATAATCTTTTCAGTCCTGCAAAAGTAAAGCTCTCAGGAAGATCCCTTGACTGTTTAGAACTGGAAGTCAGAGAGAGTGAGACGGATAAAACCATTACAAGAGAAATTCAGTGCTCGGATGGAATGGTGCTGCTATCATTGAAAAACAGCCCTTTAGTTCCAGCAGCAGCACTGCTGGATTTCCTTTCAGTGTAAGGTGTGCTGGGTGTAAGTGCTATGGGACAAGGCCCACAGGCACAGCAGGAGCACAGGGGGATGGAGCCTGAGGGCTGTGCCTGTAAGAACTGCACTGTGCTGCCAGTTTGGTTGTGCCTGGGGTTGTGACCCTGGTGTGAGTACTGCTGTGTGCATCTTCATAGTAGCAGGAGCCATTCAAATGTTGCACGTAAATACAAGCCCCCAGCAAACTGCTGGCTATGGAGAGATGCATGCATGAGAAGCAGGGATGTAAGAGGCTTTTTCTAATTGGTGTTGTATATTTCCTTGGTAGAATGTGGGGTTCTCTACTTCTTATGTTGTGTGTTGTACTTGTGCCTAGTTATGAGAAACTAAGCTGATTTTTATCAGCTTGATTTACAAAAAGAAGAATTTTTTTCAGCAGCTAGATTTAGTAATGGTGTCCTATGGAATAGCTTTTATTGTGTTTAATCAATGATATTGATTTCCCTTTAAATACAAAGATTGCACAGTTCAACAGGGGATGAAAGAACGGTATTTTAAAGATGAAGTGACTGCGTGGTTTGCTGAGCTCTTTTCTCAGTAAATCACCCTTTGTTTAACAGTTTT